AAAGAGAGGGAGAGAAACATCAGTGTGCGAGAGAAACATTGATCTGTTGTCTCTTATGAGGGACCCTCAACCAGGGACCTGGCCCGCAACCCTGCATGTGTCCTCACTAGCAATTGAATGGGTAACCTTTTGGTCTGTGGGACTATGCCCAACTCATTGAGCTACACAACTCAGAGCCAAAATACACTATAAGTAAGTAAACAAACAAACAAACAAAGCCAAAATGGGAAAAAGTATTCACTATTTTGTATATCTTACAAAATATGTACATCCAAGACATATCAAGAATTACACAACTTAGTAATAAAAACATAACTAAAAAATGGGTAAAAGATTGGAACATAAAAGATGATACACAAGTGATCAATGAACACATGAAAATATGCTCAACATCTATAGTAATCAGGGAAATGCGAATTAAAATTACAGCAAAACATCACTACACACTCATTAGAGTGGCTAGAATGAAAAAGACTGACAACATAAAGTGTTGACAAGAATATGGTACAATTGAAAGTCATGCATTTCTGGTGGTAATGGAAAATGATGCAATAACTTTGGAAAACAATCTGATGATTAGTATGGACTGACTGTGTCCCCCAAAATTCATATATTGATACTTAATCACCAATCTGATAGTATTTGGGAGTGGGGTCTTTGGAAGGTGTCTTTATGGCTATAGATCAGTGGAGGCCTCATAAATAGACTAGTGCCTTTATAAAAGAAACCCCGGAGAGCTCCCTTGTTCCTTCTGCCATATGAGAACACAGTGAGAAGACAGGTGTCTAAGAAGCAGGAAATGGGCTTTTAAGAGTACACTGAATTTACTGGTAACTTGGTCTTTGGCTCATCAACTTTTAGGACTGTGAGAAATAAATTTCTGTTGTTTATAGACTATTTAGTCAATGATATTCTGCTATAGCAGTCTGAATGTACTAAGAAAGAAATTTCTTAAAATTAGCTTGCATCTGTCACACTACTTAGCAATTCTACTCAAAGGCATATATCAAAGAGAAATGAAAACATGAGTCAACATAGACTAATGAATGTTCATAGCAGCAATATTTCAATAGCAAACACTGGATGGTGGAGGGAAGCAGGGAACAAATGTATTTCAACAGGTGAATGGATAAACAGAATGTGCTAGAGCCATATAATGGAATATTACTCAGTGATAATAAGCATGAATCACTAATATCTGTCACAAGTCCCAAACATTATACTCTGTTAAAGAAGCCAGACACAAAACAGCACATACTTTGTTATTCAATTATATAAAATACATATTAATCTATAGTAACAATAATATATCAGTGCTTTTCTGAGGTCAGGGTTTGAGAAGAGGATAGAAGAACTTTTGGGGTTCATGAAAATGTTCTAGGTCTTGACTGTGATGGTGATTTTATATGTGTATACAATGGCCCATATTCATTCATTTTAGATGCAGCTTATCTGTAAATTATTCCTCAATAAAGTTGATCAAGAAAAAATATCATTACATTTAAAGCAACTCTCCTCTACTAAGCCTTGGTTGGTGGACTTGATATCTTTAGTCATTGTACTTCTTGTTGAAAAGGCTTTGTAAACTTCTACAGTGCTATCTGTTAAAGGATTGCCATTATTATTATTTTGGGAGACTTGATGTACTTATTAAAAGTAACACAAAACGACAATTTTCTGAGAGACCTCTTCTGAACTGTATTTTGTTTACAATACCATTTCTGACACCAAATGTGTGGGTGTTTTCCCCCATAAAAACCGATTCTCTAATTCTTCAGACACCAATTTGATGTCCTCTAATTTAATATAATTTTGATAATAACTACCTGGAGTTAGCACAGATGTCACAAGTTAAGATCTCAGTCACACAAAACTGCTTCCACTTCACACACAAATCATACATCTGTACCACACATAGTTCTGACTGGTTATAAAATTAGGGGTTCCCACAGCCCCCTCTTCAGGTTGATAATTTGCTAGAATAGCTAACAGAACTCATAAAGACAGTTTACTCCCTATTGCTGTTTTTCATAAAGGATTCAACTCAGGAAAAGCCTGAGACACATAGGGCAAGATACCATGGGGAAAGGACATGGAGAGCTTCAGTGCCCTTTCCAGTCACACCACTCTCCTAGCACCCACCTGGAAGTTTTCTGAAATCCATCTTTTAGGGTTTTTATAGAAAATTTATTTACATAGGTTAAATGATTAAATCATTGGCCATTGGTTAGTGAACTCAATCTTCACCTCATCTCCCTGGAGGTCAGGGGAGGGGGCAGGGTGAAGGTGGGATTAAAAGTTACAACTATCTAATCACATAATTGGTTCCTCTAGCAACCAGTCCCCATACTGAAGCTATCTTGGGCCAGCCAGTCACCTTATTAGCATAAACACAGGTATGGTTGAAAAGCATTTCATTATGATTAAATAAAGATGCTCCTTTCACCCATCACTAAAGAAATACAAGGTTTTTAAGATTCTGGAAAGGTGCTGGGATGGTGGTGCATGTGACTGGAGAGGGCACTGAAGCTCTGTGCTCCTTCCCCTCATACCTTGCCCTACGCATTTCAGGCTGTTCTTAACTTGAATCCTTTATAAAAAGTCAGCAATAGAAGTAAACTGCTCTTCTGTCTGTGTCAGGAAACAAAGACAAAAAAAATACAGATAGGATGTGGCAAAAGTAGGTTTACAGTTTTACCTACTTTTCTCTACCCTGTATATATATTTACACACACACACACACACACACATTTATATCATAATATCACACCTTCACACTTAATGAAGAGGGTAAATCTAAATAGGCTTTCCATTAGTGCTGTGGACTTGTTTGAGATATAGCATTGAAAATACATGCACATTATTGTGATTTAAAATAAGTCCAAAGAAAATCTTTTACAGTTATAATGACATCCACAGCCTGGTAATTTGAAAGATAAGAATTGTTTTTTATGAAGTCAATATGAATTGTGCCTATTAATATGGTCTTTTTAATTAGATGCCCTATTGATCTTCTGAAACTGTTATGACATCTCCCAGGCAGGACACTTTGGCACTGAGGGTCAGGACTGTCCTGAATGACTTTCCCAGGTCTTTGGAACAGGCTGGATTAACTACTTATAATCTAGACAGCTATGCGAAGAGATTTGGTTTGTGGAAGCAACATGAAAATCTTTGAGTCTCAATGGAATTCCCTGAGTTTTCTCTGAGTTTGAGAGTAAAATAAACTACCAGATCCCACCTGAAAGCATTCAGACCTGCCTTTTCAGGTTCTTGCTGAAGTATCTGGCTCCTTATCTTGGCTTAACTCATTGGAGTGTGAGTGCAACTGCAAAGGTGCAACCGCAGGGCTTCTGAAACCCATGTGTGGATTGCTTTGAGGTCAGCCCAAAGGTGAAATTGGACCAAAAAAGCTCATTGAGTTGGGATACAACTACTAAGTTTTTTTTGGTTTCATTTTGAACCCATAAATCACAATTTTCTATTATGCAGCCAAGATTTTTCTTAAAACATGGCTTCATTTTGCTTAAATAAAAGACTAGCATTATACCAGTTTTGTGGAAGATGGTTGATACATAAACAGAAAGATCATTGACCCCATTTCCTTGAGTTTTAGCTTCTGCTCATCTGACTTTTTCATTTGTCTTAATATAGGAAACAAAGGCTAATAAATATTTGATTTCCCAGGACTCTTTAAGGACTGTTATTCTCAAAGGTCTTTATTTTCTGCAGAGATCACTTCACCTCTTCAATGTGTCTCATTACCTGCTACTTTGCAGAAATTCAGTTTAAGTTCTGAGCTTGCCAAATGACATGAATTAGTGATAGATAGATCACTGCAACTTCATATAAATGTTGAAATAAGTGGAGAAATAGTAGAAACATTGGAAGTATGCATCACAAAGGCTAGAATTTTTTTGAGAGGTGGTTCAGTGAGATGATATATATGGAAAATATAGCCAGCAGGGTCCAATCAGGAAAGAGAAACCACAAGTATGAAATGGTGGTTTCTCTTTTTTGATTGGGCCCCACCCTCATATGTGGAATCTAATGATCAAAATAAACTAACAAACAAAACAGAAAACAAACTGACAGTTGTTAGAAGTGAGGGAGGTTTAAGATATAAGGAACCTACGGTTAACCTAGGGCAGAGAGATGGCCTGCAAAGAAGGACAAACTCAGAAGGGCTTTAGATCTCACTGGAGAAGGTGTAGATGAGCCACTGTACTGCAGAGACACTGGCTGGTTTAGCCAGACTGGAACCGGTTTGGAGTTTGGGACAAACAACAAACCACCTTCTATAGGGCAAGCAGGGAGCAATCAGTGGGGCACCAGAGGGGCAATGGGATCCTGGTCTCAGGAGAAGACAAAGGGGAGCAGGTTGCATAGTGGAATCTTACAGAGGGAGGGCTGTTCAGGTGGACCCCTGGACCAAAGGCATCTTTCACACGGGCCATTTCGGGGTGTTTTTCCCCCATGTATCACCAGGCTAAAGATGTACAACTGCAGAGGGACAACTTTTAGGGCTTATGGTCCTGGCAGGATGTGCCAGAAGTCCTCACTTCCACACAACTGACTCTTCCCAGGTCATGTCAAGGTTGCAAGAAGCCTCTTTTTTCTACGATGTCCCTGTCCTGAGAGAGCTTAGCATGGAGCTCACATTAAAGGAGAAATACTTATATGAATTTCATTGTTTATCACAGGCCTGTATTGAAGGGTCAATTAGGAGCTGAGAGAAAATAAATTGATAATGACACAGAGTTTAGCAAGACACTAGCACACAGTAGGTGCTCAGTGATTGAAAGTTATGCATATGATACTTATTTGGAAAAACTTAATCAGTTTAATTAGCTGGAAAATTAGGCAGCTGTGTTAGTATTAATTATAATGTTATTTTATATTATTTAAGTAAACACCAAGTTAAGTGTGTATAAAATATTTCTCATTTCTAATTCATGTTTCTGGTTTGTTTTTTGCTTTTGTTTTTGTTTTTGGTCCAGGTTTTATACAATATATTAATTGCCTTCACAAAGATGCATACATTTGAAAACATAGAGACTGTTGACATTTTGGCTGGATGTGCCCGATTCATTATTGTGGGCGTTGGGGGAGTATTTTTTGGCATTATTTTTGGATTCATTTCTGCATTTATCACACGTTTCACTCAGAATATCTCTGCAATTGAGCCGCTCATCGTCTTCATGTTCAGCTATTTGTCTTACTTAGCTGCTGAGACCCTCTACCTCTCTGGCATTCTGGCGTGAGTATAAACCAAGGACCAACTCTGGTAGCAATGAAAGAGAATTTAGGACTGCATCTTGTGGACCAGCATTTGGAAAAGTCTTGATTACTGATGCTAATTCTCAAAGGTGTTGCAGGGTTCAGGTTTCTTCAACATTTGTAAAATCTGATCCAGGCAGGCCCTTTGCTAAACAAATGCTTTCTCCAGCATTTGTGTCTGTTCTCTTTTCTTGATTTGCCTGCAGAGAGGATAGCAATTTTAAGGTCATTTTTGAATGACCAGAAAAGCTGCTGCAGAGAAAATCTAGGAGAAGTTCATGTTGGTCTCATGTCAGTAAGTTTTTCTTTCTTTGAAAAATTCATTACCTTAAAATTGAGGGGCAGCATGCCATGAGGGACTGCCTCTGCTGTTTCCCTCAAACTGCACCACAGACTGAGCACTCTGCATGTAGAATGAAACTAGATAGAAAGGACAAGACTAGAAATCCAGGTTTCTTTTTTCTTAATTAAAATATTTTTTAAATGTTTATTGTTGTGTAGATCTTGGAATGAGTCTTCTTAACTTGGCTTATTATATTTGGTTATGTTATTTTCTCTATGACATTATTCTCATGCCCATTTACTCAGGCAGAAATAGTTAATTTTATTGTACAGTGAAAATTAATTTTAATTAATTATAATAGTGTAAAATCTAGACACTCATTATTTTTTTCACCTTGAAAGTGATCAAAGCTACTAAGACAAGGCAAAGTTCTTTCTCCACCCACCCCCTACCTAAGTGGGTCTAGTAGGAACTAGAAATGAGAACGATATCATTGTAAGAAATATTGCTCAAGCAGAGAAAATGAGGGACCTTGCTGAATTACTCCTAGGTAACTGCAATGGATTTATTTTCATTTAAAAGGCAGAGTGAAGTAGAGAGTAAGAGGGGGATCAACAAAGCTCTTGATGAGGAAGGGCAGGATAGAAACAGTTGAGCTTCCAGTCTGTGCATGAACTGCCAGCTGTTTTGTTGTGGGAAAGCCTTGACAACCCTCCTTCCGCACCATGCTCAACTTCCCCACCACACCCACTCACCTTGCACAAACCACTTGGAGAGGGAGAATAGGAAGAAAGAAAATCTGTGGGAAAGCTGCAGCCAGAGAGAGGGTGGAGAAGATATTCTCTCCGGACAAAAACAGGATTTGTGTATCTGTGGCATCACCAATAAGGTGGGTTTTGTGGGAGTGGCAAAGTCACGTGCTTCTCTCTTTTGTAGAATCACGGCCTGTGCAATGACAATGAAAAAGTATGTAGAAGAAAACATTTCCCAGACATCCTACACGACTATCAAGTATTTCATGAAGATGCTGAGCAGTGTCAGCGAGACGCTGATTTTCATTTTCATGGGTGTGTCCACAGTTGGGAAGAACCACGAGTGGAACTGGGCTTTTGTTTGCTTCACGCTGGCCTTTTGCCAGATCTGGAGAGCTATCAGTAAGGACAGCAGGACCCGAAGAGTTCCTGCCTGCTGCTTTTTAAATTTTGTCTTACTCCTTCTTGCAGTGTACAGGCATAAACAGTGAGGTGGTAATAACTGGTTTTACTGGTTAGGGGAGTACGGGCACCTTGTAGTGAAGAGGAATGTTCTGTTTACTCTTTCAAAGTCATTAGTGGCTGATCAGGTTCTGTTCCTGAGAAAGGCATGTTATTTTTTAATTGAAGAGAGAACTTTCTCATCTACACACTTAAATGTAACAGTGAATTTCTCCCTTGCTCTTCACTTCTGGTGGCAGTTTGTCCCCTTTTGCACCTGAAATCAGATATAGATTATAAACTTTTTTTTTAAAGGCATTTACACTTTTGTTACAGGACAAGTGAGATGTCACAAATTGTACTTTTATGGAGTGTTTAACATTAATTAGTAAAGATGAGTCTGTAATGTAACTGGCATCACCCCTATAAAATATGCCTAATTTAAAAACTGAGACATCTTGACTAATGTCTGATGATTTATCTTATTTTATGTTTCTGGAAAAACATATGCTGAACTACAATATATATGTTGCCTTTTTACTAGAAGCAATTATGTTTTAAAATGATTTGACTAATATTCAAAGCATTTTAAATGCCTTTGATCAATATTGTCAAGGCAATTATTCAAAGAGAAATTAGTAAAAATGGCTGAGAATTTGCTGAGCATATCAAGTTCAGGTTAATTGAGGATAGGTTTTAGGATTTAGGAAAGAATATGAAGAAATATTAAAATATTCATAAACCTTATTATGAATATGATTGTTGGGCCCCCAGGGGAAAAAAGATTTAAGAAAACCCTGATAGAAATTTATAATCTCACATCAAATCCTGGAACTATTACCAACTAGCAATTCAACCTTGGACAGACATGTAACTACTCAAAATATTTGTCCTCAACCACAAAATTGTGGGTGTGGACAAACTTCTAAAATCCTTTTCAGTTCTAATACTGTAGAAAATCCATAGGGTTAGTAAAGCTAACATCAGAGCTTCAGCCAGCCAACAGAAATAGACACCATCTAGGAGAAGATTAATATTGTGGCTCCTTCCACATTGTTGAGCCTTGGTGACCATACAGCCTAACTTCATCAGCTTCTAGCTGAAGGACATGAGGAAACAGTCACCAAAAAAGTATGGCTGACTGGGCCACATCACAGTGAGGGACAGAGTCAAGTATCAGAATCCAGTTCTCCTACTCCCAGCCTGTTCTCATTCTAGACTGACTCATTATAGCTAATAATAGTTCACACTCATAAAGGCATGTAACATATAAGGGCCTGCTTTATAATTATTTGTAGTTATGAGATTAATTTCAACCTTATATCCATGTTCTGATGGAAATACTATCATTATCTCTATTAAGCAGACAAAGTACATGACAAACCTTAAAGCCTTACCTGAGGTCAGGTCACATAACTAGCAAGTATGTGGAGGATGCAGGATAAACAACACAAAATGAAAAAATTTAAATATAACTGTGCCTTGTGCTGTCAATATGCCTGTAATCAAAGGTTGCTTCCTGTGTGATTAGAAGTCACATGCTGCTGCTGAAAGATTTGTTAGTCTGCAGTGAAACCTCTTGTTTGGCCAGAGCTTTAGTGAAGGGACATTTGCCACTAGGAACCACTGCAGTATGGTAGTAGGTCAGGTGTGCCAGTTGGGGATGGAATATTAGTGTAGTAGAAGGTATCTCTGTCTTTTAAACAAACTCTCCCACCCTTTACCCAGCACTTACTGACAGCAAGAAGCCCTTCTCTTGAACTTTTGTCAACATCCTTTCTTGTTTGCATTGAATCTCAAGATGAACCAGATCAACCACAAAATAGTTGCTCACCCTGCAGAGACCACAGTCCCCAAGAGGGCCCCTTTTATGTTGAAAATTACCTTCTTTGGTAACTGAATGAGAACACAAGATGGTAAAAATGTTTTTATTCTCCTGGCAATATTGTTGCTTTACTGTGTTTTAAAAGGCATAGCAAAAATTATGAGTTAGATTAGAAAATGTATGCCATTTCTCATATCAAAAAGTATAAAGATTTTGTTACTTTAAATACTCACACACGCAGAGGACTCTAGAAAGCTACCTATCTGAAGCCCTACTGCCTTCGTCGGGCATTCATGGGTGAGATGGAATCTGGGTGCCAAGTTTTGAAGGCACATGTGCACAACCTGGGTTAACTAGCATTTTATCTCTATTCGTTCGTGATCCTCTGCTCTAATATGTGTCTCCCCCTTTCTAGGTGTATTTGTTCTCTTCTATGTCAGTAACCAGTTTCGGACTTTCCCATTCTCCATCAAGGACCAGTGTATAGTTTTCTACAGTGGCGTTCGAGGAGCTGGAAGTTTTTCACTTGCGTTTTTGCTTCCTCTGTCTCTTTTTCCTAGGAAGAAAATGTTTATCACAGCTACTCTAGTAGTTATATATTTTACTGTATTTATTCAGGTTGGTATATTTCTTTCATATTTGAAAGAAGTAGATTCATTCAAAATTATGTTTCAAATTACTGTAATAACAAAAGTATGCTTTATTTGATTTTCAGATATGATTTTCTATTTTTATGTGCTCTATTGTTTTGAGGAAGTAGATAATATACTAAAACTAAATTCCCAAATATTTCCAGATCGTGTTTGTGGCCATCCTTCAAACTCCAAAATATGTTAGCTTTTAATCAGTAAAACATATTAATCAAAATATTCCTGGGTAACAAGTGAATTAAAGCTACTGTATTATGTATTGCTAAAAATTAGATTCCAATTAATAATATGTAGCACAAATTTTTATTTTAGCTTGGGCTACCTTTTAGCAAACTGATGAGGTGTTATTTTAAAGGATGAAATGAAACTCCTTTAAAATAGAGACATAATGCCTATTTTTATTGCAGAATTTAAAAGAATTAAAAATAACTAAAATAAACACTGAAGCCTTTGTCTAGTAAAAGCTAGTACAAAACAAAAACATACAAATTGGAAGTTCTAATAGTTTTATTAATAGATACATCCTCTACAATCACAATCTTCACTATAACAAAGCCCTTTATTTTGTTATTTATAATCTAGGGAATCACCATTGGCCCTCTGGTCAGGTACCTGGATGTTAAAAAAACCAATAAAAAAGAATCCATCAATGAAGAGCTTCACATTCGTGTAAGTTATCTCTTTGCAATAATTAATAAGTTAATAAAAAATTTCCCATTTGCCACCGATGAGAGTTATTTAGGCTTTGATGAGATGTGTGTATGTATCCTTAGACATAGCCTCTTTCCAGGTCCACCAAGAATGTACTAGTTCCCTATTGCTGCTGTAGGAGGTTACTATAAACTTGGTGGTTTAAAAAAACATAAAGTTATTATCTTACACTTCTGGATGTCAGAAGTTCAAGATGGGTATCTCTGGGCTAAATCAAAATGTCGTAGAGCTGCATTACTTTCTGGAGGTTTTGAGAAGGAATCTATTTCCTTGCTTCTTCCAGCTTCTGGAAACTTCTGGAATCCCTTGGCTCCTGGACCCTTTCCATCCGCATAGCTAGCCATGGCCAGTCAATTCTTTCTCATGCTGCATCACTTTGATACTGATTCTTCTGTCTTTCTATTCCATATTAAAGACCTTTATGATTATATTTGGCCCATGTGGATTACTTAAGCTAATTCTCTCTATGTGAAAGCTAATTGACAACACTAAATCCATCGGCTACCTTAATTCATCTTTGCATATAAATTATCATGTTCACAGGTTCTGGGGATTGGGACATGGACATCTTTGTAGCCCATTATTCTGCCTACCACGATCTGCCCTCTGCCCCTCAAAAATTCAGGTCTGTTCCACATTCAAAATACATTAACTCTACCCCAGCATCCTGAAAGTGTCAATTCATTATAGTATCAACTCAAAGACCAAAAATTTCATCTAAATCATATCTGTTCAAAAGACTCAATTATTAGCTTCTCAAGGATCTAAATCAGGCATGGATGAGGCCCTGGGTATAATCCATTCTGAGGCACAACTCCTCTCCGGTTCTGCACCTGTGACACTCAGGAAACAAGTTTTCAGTTCCCAAAATGCACTAGTAGGACAGTCATGAGATAATAGCTGTAGATACTCATTTTTAAAATGGAGGGGGAAATGGAAGGAAAAAAGGAGTCATCTATCCCAAGCAAATTTCTCAAGTTCACCTGGGAAAACTATTTGGTTTCAATAGTTTTTGAACAATCTTCTGTGGTTCTTTGCACCACCTCCTTGGTTCTAAACTCCCCCCTCTGAGTTGTACTTCCTTTTTCATGAAAGGTGGCATATTTGGAGTTCATTAGTTTGATCAGCCTGTTTCTTGCTCATAGAGTCTTGGGGATCTAAAGCCTTTTTTTATTTTGTCTTCTCTCTTTCCCTTTTGGTCCAAGCTGGCAGTATTTCTGAGAAAGAAAGCATAGTCAGTAGGAGATATATATTAAGGACTTTATTGCAAGGAATTGGCTCACCTCTTGTGGGAACTGGTTAGGCAAGTCCACAATTTGGAGACTAGGCCATGAAGAAGGTGGAGAGAGACTCTAGGCATGAGCTACAGCCACTGTGCATACATGGAGACATCAGTTCCACTCTTTAGGCCTTTCAACTGATAAAATCAAGCCCACCTAAAATATCTAGAATAATCTCCTTTACTTAAAGTAACTGATTCTGAACTTTAATCATATTTACAAAATATCTTCACTGGAATAGCTAGATTAGTGTTAATAATAACTGGGGACTAGCCTAGATAATTTGACACCTCAAGAAACTGTTCTAAAGGCTTTGACTACTTTTGCAGATAAGATCTAGTGGCAGTTTTAATTGAAAATATCCAAGTTTGACAAAGATGAAAATGAAATTGAGCATGGTTTCTACTTGTTTGTTTTATTTAAGTTCAATACATTCAATATGATATTGAAGGGATGTCATCCTGTATGGCTCCAGGGAATAAAATGAGAACTAATGTATGGAAGAAATCCCGAGACAGCCTTCAGCCCAGTCAATGGAGAATATTTTGACTTGTTTTATACGTAGCATGTCCAAAGGCAAAATGGATGTGTGCAAGTAATGATTGGAAACACTTGGCTTAGTTATTGTACAGAAGGCTGAAGATTTGAGGGATGATTGACTCATAGTTTTTTGGTCTCTTTCATCCCTGGGATTCATGGTTCTAAAGCTGGAGAAACTGTGGAAATCATTCAAAATGAGCCCTGAATTTCATGGCCAAAGTTACCGGAGAAATAAAGTAATTAAATTCCGGGAAACCCAAACCAAAATTTTTCAAGGTCATTAAAAAATATTCAATAGATGAGGATAGGGAGTAAGTGTTTTAAAATAAGTAATGCTTTAACCTAATTTAAAATTTTGTCTCTATATTTATAACCTCTCTTCATTATTTTGCAAAATTAGAAATTATATACCTAAGACAGTAAAAATTGGTTATTTTCTTCTTTCTTATTTATTTTTCTTATTTTCAAAGAAGTTATAATTATCATAAAATGTGCACCAATTAAGAACTTCAGAAATTTAGTAGTTTAATATATTCTGCAAAAAAGTTTAGAAGCTAGTATGAACTTTAATGATTACAAAATTTAAATTATATGAAAACTAATTCATAAATTTTGAAGGGATTGTGCTTTTTTTAAGTTCCTATAAAAAATTTGGATAAGTCAAATGCGGTATAGTTGGCTTGGATCATGACAAAATGTTAAATAAAAAAATTAGGCATATAGGTAAGTTTTGTTATAGTTATTATAATAGAACATCTGTAGTATTATATTTTTAGAAACTGTATAAATTGGATACTGGCATTTTCTCTTTTTTTTCAATGAAATTAATAGGTACAGTTAATTAATAGGCTTTATATCCACATAATTTCAGTAATGAGGTATTTCCTAGATAGTTCTAGAAATGTATTACTCAAAGAAAATGACAAGTACACTGTTTTCATTGCAAGTCATGTGCAATATTAAGGAACTTTTTTCTACAGTCATTGAATCATGAAACAAAGTTAAATTACTATGAAAAGATTTATAGCTTTTTAGTTATATGAACAGAGTGATAGAAGATAAAATTAAGAACTCCTTTGTTTTCCAAAGTGTATCAGATTTCCTCCTGTGTCTTTTAGCATTAACGTTTCACCAGCAATCATTTTCTTGTGTTTGGTTTGCCAGCTGATGGATCACCTGAAGGCTGGAATTGAAGATGTGTGTGGGCAATGGAGCCACTACCAAGTGAGAGACAAGTAAGGAGACTGAGGGTGTCACTATATAGGAAGGATATTTATGGCATAGGCAACCTCAAAAGCTTACATTGGAAACAGCATAAAACTAGAAAGAATCTAGAGGAAGGGGACTGAGAAGATAAAGGGTCTGGGAACCATACCATACAAGAAACAGGTGGAAAATAAGAATGACTCTCAGATTTTTAGGTAAGGAGTCTAGGGAGATAACAATGTCAGGGTTAAATTTATAACCTGTAGACAATGTTTAGAATTAAATAATAGATTCTGTTTCATATATCTCATATATATTGTCAGCCCCCTTTTGGAATTTAGTCTCAGGTTTAGGAGGAAGATTGGACTGGAAATTAAGGTTGTGTGTTATCAGAGAGTGTTTCGTAACCAAAGCCATGGGCATGGATGAGGTCACTGACTGAGGACAGGACTCTGAAAAACCTCCATTTCTATTGGGCAGGTAACAAAAAGGAAGGGTGGAGGAGGCTCCGAAGAAGTCGTTAGGGAAGCTGGAAGGGGGAAGCCTGTGTCAATCAGGACATGGAAGGCATGGAGGAAATGACCCAGTGATGCATCAGGGGAAGCCACATGGCAAGCAGGGCAAGAAGAATGGCAACAAATAAAATAGGCAGACAAATTACTTCTTGAATGTAAAATGATTGGAAGTGTTGAAAATTTATGCCCAAACAAATGGCCAACTCTGAAGGTATCAACACATCCATGCAGCTCGGTCTAATGGGTCAGTGAGAGGTTCACTACAATAATCAGTAGCCATCATCATCTAGCCTATTCAGATTCTCCATCATTCAGACTGTCAAGGTATATGTAGGTTCCCACAACCACTCCCTTAATTGGAAGACTTGAGAATGATCTGTAGCATAGTGGGCAGAACTACTATAACTACAGGGCCATTTAAACTTCCTGCGTTTTTTTTGGATAGGCCAGTATAACTGTAAGTAAAGCTTCCACTGTTATGAGCTATTAGAATGAAACACTTGTTCAAAAGCCTCAACACTCTCATTTCTTGTAATTGAAGATGAGCTAGGCTAGGCCTTCCCTGCTCCACAGTTATGTAAACTTTTTGTCCTGATTGCAGCTTGTCCCTTCCTTTTGTTTAGTTGATTTTTACTATATTCAGGCCAATGGGCCATTCTTTTTTTATTTAAAAAAATATTAATTTCATGATTTAAAAGAAATGTTCAGCAGCTAGGAATTCCAGACACTGTCCTGATGTTGCTCAGACCAAAGTTAAGTAGTAATTTGTTTTAAGAAAAGTACATAGTTACATATGTACAGAGGTTAAACATTTCCAAAATGTTGGTTTTCAATTTTAGGTTTAAGAAGTTTGATCATCGATATTTACGGAAAATCCTAATCCGAAAGAACCTGCCAAAATCAAGCATTGTTTCTTTGTACAAGAAGCTGGAAATAAAACAAGCTCTTGAGATGGTAGAGACTGGTATCCTAAATTCTGCAGGCCTTTCCATATCCCATCAGTAAGTCATACCTGCTCTTTGACCTAGGTTATTTTTCATTAAAAACTTATTTCAATTATAGTTTACTTTCAGTATTATTCTATATTAGTTTCAGGTGTACAGCATAGTGGTTGGGCAATCATATAATTTACATAGTGACACCCCAATATTTTGAATACCCTCCTGGATCCATGCATAGATATTACAATATTATTGACTATATTCTCTATGCTGTACTTTACATCCCTGTGACTGTTCCATAACTATAATTTGTACTTTTTAATCCCTTCACATTTTCACCCAGCCCTCCAACACCCCTCCCTTCTGGCAACCATTGATCTAGACATTCAATATCAGGATTCCCAAGGGCACTAACTCATTAATTTTTACTTAAAGGGAATATGGGAGTGAAGGGACACAAATATGAGAAAGAAATCTTGAAAAAATAGCTGATCTAAGTCTTGGTATTTTGTAGCTTAGCCATGTTCAACCTGTTTCACCTAATTTCTGAAAATTATTTTCTTTGGGAGGGAGAGCTTACAACAAGATCAGGGAAATGACTGACTTCCTGTGGAACAGAGGGCCTTAGGAAGTTGGTGTAGAGGCTGGTGTAGGGAGGGGTAAAACCTGTATATAAGTCTGTTATTACAAGGTGATTCCCTCTGAAGCATGGCACTTCTATTGGAGCATTGGAAACCAATTATCTTAAGATGTAGACAAATATTTTCTAAGCTGCTTTAACTCTCTGACATTTAACAAGAGTCCTTTCAATATCACAAGAATTAATTTACAACAGCTTCCACCCATGGATGCCCAGTTTTCCTCCAAGGAATTATTTATGAATTGAGAAAGTTAATCAGAGCATGTACTTAAGATCAGGAACTCCAGCCCTTTCATCCTGTTCTGTTCAACTGGTAAGAACACTTGATCATGAGCTTTAATAATGTCCTCATGTTTTAAAACCTAGTTGATAGAAGACCTAAGTATAGATAGCAATAAAATTGTCATTAATGTCTGAGTGCATGTTTCTTCTCATTCCTTACTTGCTAATGAAGCAGAAACACCATTGTCTCTCGTCCATGGCCTATGAATATAGTGGTGTCCCTGGGTACATCCCAGTGTAAAGAGAAAGCTGTCTGCCTTATTTTTCAGTGAAACTGTTTTTGTGGCTGATTTGTTTATTTTGGTGCTGCCCATTACATGGCTCTAAGGAAATTTTTGATGCAAAATCGGGAATGTGTTAACAAATATTTATTGGCAGTGCCATGCTGAGCCATATTAGAGCCTGAAGCAGAAAGAAAAATCAGTAATATTGAGCCTGTATTTACTTAAAATGTTGATATTTTATTTATCTTGGATTTTTTGTATTGATCTTTATTTTCTAAAACGTTGCATTCAAATCCTACTTAACTTGATTGCCGAACTTTGGTGTAGAAGGAGGGTGCAGGGAGGGATAAGAAATGTATATAATTTTTTTGACATCCTCTTACCAGAGGCAAGTATCTCACTAACCTCACCTTAGGCCCAACCCTGTTCTTTGGGTACCTCCTGTGTGAAAGCAGCACAGTCCCTTTCTTCATGGAGCTGGGTCATGATATTAATACAAAAGGTTAAATTAATAAAAAAAAGTCACAAACATAATTCTAAAGTCTAAGAAGCTGTGACAGTATAAGAGGTGAAACTCACCTGGTCCCCAGGCATTTGACTTGCTCCCTGAAGGATGAATGGGAGTTAACTCAATGCAGGGCAGGAGGGCTGGACAGGTTCAGGCAAGTTAGACTGTTAGAAACTTCCTCAATTGGTTTGCTTACTAGTCATGTGAGCACCTGGTCTAGGAATGTGGGAGCATTTATCTCTAATGACAATCAGCCTGTTCTGTGCTAAAACATAATTTGAATCTCTGTATTACATTGCATTGGTCATAAACAGTTGTCCCAGTTTCTGACCTCAGGTAATTTTTAACCAGCTTTATTTGGAGGGGCTGGGTGGCTTCTGTTGAGTCAGTTACACTTTCAGACAGTTTTAACATATTGATTCAAGATTAGTAACACAGCCTTACAGGTGAGAGACAAGTATTTTTCTACGTATAGTCCAAACTAGGGTGGAGAGGAGAATTTTTGAACATATTCATTCAAGTTCAGTAGTTAAATTGCATTTATTTGATCTCATCAGAAATACATAGGACATCAAGCAAAAAGGAATTCCTCTCCTAAGATCAAAGCAACTAATTTCTTAATAAACAAACCTTGATACAATAATAGGAAAAAGGAATGTGTATTCAGCTCGCTTTTTATTATTTTTTATAAAATGAAAACAGAAAAGTGCACTTTTTTTTCTTTAGAAAGTTAAGCAGTTGTTCTACAGAGATTTAGATTTGCAAACTCTGTAACCTTTAGGAGAACCCCTCACCAAAAGTTATCAGTAACACAGTGCAGATGGTGTTGATTCCATGGAACTTTATTACTTTTTCATGCGTTATTTCATTTGAACCTCAAGACAACTCTATGGAATAGGTAGAATATGTATTTGAATTATTATTTCAAATATGAGGCATCTCATTTTACCAGTGAGTAGTAAGCTCTTAGAAATATTAGAGGATAGAGGCTCAGATTGATTAAAACTGTGGAAGCTTTAAAAAATATTTGGTTAATGTTAAAAAGATATTGAAATATTTATAAATTTATAGGCATAGCAAACTACAACATACAATTTTTAAATATATTTAAAAACTCCCAAATAATTTCAACATGTCATTTATAAAAAGCTTACATTTATTGTAGTTTAAGAAATTTTTATTTGATCACATATTGACAGGTATAAGTTTACCTTTATGCATTCTTACACCAAAGACTCTGGAATGAAGACTGATGCCATTTTCATTCTGTAATGGAACATGGTGTTATGAGAAGTCAGGCCTTCTTCTCTGCCACTCTTCACTCATTCTAGATTTTGGTCATCTTTGTGACCTGCCTAAAAAGTCATACCAATAAATTTAATAGGAAAGAAGAAAAAAGACATTAGGCAACCACAGTCACAGAAGAGTGGCTGGACACCACTGCTTACTCAGTGGGCATGTCCTTCACCCACCTTATCATGTATTTTCTATGGATTTCATGCATAAAGCTATTGAAAGAGGATGTATTCTTCTAAATGAATCAGGGTATAGTATTTGATGTTTTGTGAATTAATATTATGGCATGAACATAACACCTACCAGATTTTATATCTATATTGTTTAGAATTAAAACCTTTTTTTACACTATTATAGCATCTTTTAAAAAAAAGTTAAGAGAAATGTGAATCTTTTATTCAAATACATTTAGATTCATATTTTCCTGTTTGATTTTAAGAGCCATGAAATTACCATAGTACTTTTTTTTTATGGTGACAGATATTTCTTTTATGGATAATGAATGAAGGTTCAAGTGGCAAAGGTCTTTCAATTTATAATTTTACTTTTTTTGACTAACAAAATAGTAACATTCCATTTTGCTAAGGATTGTATTTTTCCTGTGCTTGTAATATAATTATTTGTAGGATAACTCTGCTAATCAAGTGGCAGGTGGAAAACTCCAGGTGTCACCTTGCCTAAGTGAATAATTTGTCTTTATGATTTTGTAGCTGCAGCTTCTCACTGTGGATCAGTGAAAGTTGATGCCCTTGGGATGCCTGTATTACACATTCAGCCAGCAGCCTGAATGGACTTTTAATTAAGTTTAGTCCTTCCCAAAGTGGTCAATTGTAAACCAAGGAATGTGCGAAGTTAGATCTACTGTTACCTGAAGTTTCACTTTAATACTCCGTTTACAATGGTTTTTCCTGCTTGGCTTTTTTATTATGCATACAGAAAATGAAACAGTTTCATTTTCTACTTGTTTCTACTTAGCAATAGATTACTTCCACCATAATAGAGGAATGTGTGGAAATTGTTGGAATGTGTGGGTGTATCTAAATCAAAATACATTTTATTTGAAGGACATTTAAACAATTAAGTTGAAAAGCCCTTATAATAATGTTCAGTTAACTAAAGGTGGTAACAATGTCAATAGTGTTAAGATATGGAAACTTAGATTTCAAGGATTATGTAGAAAGGGTATCAGTCAGTGCACAGATAGAATTGCTACACAAATCCTGACATACCGTGATATCTAACATTCAAGTCCTTAAAAATCCTTTGCTGGTCGTATATTACTTGCACAATGTCCTTGTTATTTATGATTATATTGCTACCAATGTTTTGGGGAAATAATTCAAAAATGGCCTGTATGGAAACTAATAACTACTTATCTCTTTGATCAGCTATCCTAAGCCCTTTGCAAGCAGATATGAGCACAGCACTGCCCTTATGTATTCAGAAGAGCTACAGCTAGAAAGGAAAAAAAAAATCAAAACTCTGTAAGGATTTATATCAAAATGTTAAGGGAGAGGATAGTATTAAAAATTGGTTTAATTTTCTTTAGTTCTCCCTTTTTAGTTCTTACATCCTACAGTGACTATATATTACTCATAAAATAGTAAGAGAAATTACCTCCACTGTATTGAAATGACTGAAAGCAAATATATTTGTCAATGCAAATTCTGCATATAGCAATGTCATGACTTTGAAATCCTCAGAAGACAATTGTGCATTGACTGATAATCTGGGCATGACTTGGTTTTTGAACCCTTTTAGGGGAGGTTGTAGGGGGCTCATGGTGAAGGACAATGTGAGGAGCTAGTCTATGCAGAGGCAGTGAGCCATCAACTGTTTCTAGAATCACACAGAGTTCTCAGTGTCTCAGAAACAGGCTGGCTTTTTCATGATAAAAATGTTCTAATTCTCCTTGTAAAATATGATACTAGTTTTTTAGAACATTCTTTAACTGAAGATAAAACCTCTAAAGGAAAAATCCCAATGTAGATGTACTCATAAAGGTGCTCATAAAACTGTAATACATTTAGTTTAATGTCACTCAAAATGTAGTGTGTGGATAGCATTGTCCATGGACTGTCACTTGTCTACCATAAGTTCAGAGCTAATTAAGAATCAGCCTTAAAAAATAAAAAAAAAAATCAGTTTTGAGGGAGTAATCTTATTTCTGTTGAATCTAACAGTAAAATATTTGGTTTGCATTTTATGGTAGTTTTTAAAATTTTATTTTCTAATAATTGACTTTTACTATATTTTACAAAGTGTTTATAGTAAATATGGAGGGAAAAAACTGATCTGTCACATCTTAAGCCCCTTTTTAAAATGAGTTATAATATTTTCTATGTACAAGCTAAAGGCAAAGAAACTATATTTTTAAAATGTAAGTTAAGATTCATGCACTGACATTTCACAGAAGCTTACCAAAACAATAGGAAAGATTATATGAACACAGGGGCCTGGAATTTAGAACTCCCACAAGTACTCTGATACTTTTGAGGCACTCTTGCCAAGATAGAAAAATAATGCTTTCCTTCCTCAAATGATGTTTGCAGGACCCAGAGGATGCAAGGAATCAAAAGGCTTTCCCCTGAAGATGTGGAGGCCATGAGAAACATTCTGACATGCAACATGTACCAAGTTCGACAGAGGGTGTGTATAAGTCATCTTACTTGTCTCTGTGGCCTGTCCTGGGAACCCCTAGAGAACCAGGTCTTGGTCACATTGTCCACTCTAAAGCAGCCTTTCTGTTGAACAATTTCTCCCAGCTTAGTTTGGAGGATAGAAAGTTCATTATTATGTTTCTGCTCCAAATTGGCACTTGTGGTATAAAAAGAAATGCAAATCCAGTTGCTGTCCCTAGGGGTCAGGCTGGTCCTAGTCCAGCAGAAAAATGATGGCTCCCAGTCAGGGAGGATAGTTGTTTCAATTTTTGATTATAATAGAGTTCAAAAAATCGAGATGGTTTCTACTAGAATACTGAAACTGCAATGGTGACAGCCTTTTTAAAAGAGGATATGTATTAGATATATTCTCAATTTTTGAAAAAGGTACAGAATCTATACTAGCATTTGGGAACTGGTCCAAAGTGCAAAGTAGGAACATTTCTTGAATCAGTGGGTGAGTGCTTCTGAAACTTTGATTTAGTCCAAGGATATATAAACTTGAGACCTCTAATTAGGAGTTTTTTGTTTTTAAGTTTGAGGATTCAATCGAACTTCACAATTCTTCAGTACGATTATTAGTGAATTGTTTATAAGGGCCTTGGTATTTATGACTATGTCATAAATTAGTCTTAATAGGACCAAAAAAAAAAATCTAGTTGAATTTCCTAATTTTCAAGTAGAAAATGCTATGGTTAGAGGAGTTGGTTATTTGACTTGTTTAAGATCACAAAATAAAAGGAAGAACCCAGGTCTTCGAACTGCCTACTTAGTGCTCTTTTTATGACTCCATATTTACAGGATTCAATGAAAGTAAATGTTTCAGCTTCCTGTTTTGAAAAGGTCAATGATTAAGGGGAATGTGTCATGGAAAGTCTCTGCACCTGCTGAAGGAATATAGGTCAGCAGCAATCATAGCACATTTAGAGAAAATGCAACAGCTTTCAAATTATTCCAAGTGAAACTGTTTCAGTAAGACTATCACTGTTCTGCCTTAGCTAAATAGTTAAGAACTTCCTGATTTAGACAACATGGGCTAGCTTACTGAGGGCCAGAGCCCAAAGGGTGCCTGCTACTCAGCCTTTTACGTGTTGATGAAAGTTGATGAAGGCAAAGGTCCAGAAATAGAGATAGAGATCCTGGGTCTCCAACTAAAATGAGGTTAACTGCCCATTCTCTCCTTTTTCCCTTTTATGCAGTTTCCCAGATAGCAACCTTTCTTCTTGTGTCCATACACCTAATCAGCCTGTTCTCTAGGTTAATCCCTTCTAAATTATGCGGTAGCCCTCTTCCTTGTTGTCTCCAAATAAACAGATAGGAGCCCTGGTTGGTATGGCTCAGTGGATTGGGCAGTGGCCTGCAAACCAATGGGTTGCTGGTTCCATTCCCAGTCAGGACACATGCCTGTCTTGTGGGATAGGTCCCCAGCAGGAGGCCTGTGAGAGGCAACCACACAAATAAACACATAGGTTACAGAAAGTCACGTGGGGAGAATATAAATAATAAACGGAGGGGAATCCCAAGCCTCTGAGATGGCTTTTGCCTGCACTTTTGTTACTTTGAGAGTGAAACTTACCAGTTCTCTCCCTTCCTGTCTTCCTTTTCTCTATCTTCTGCATAGTCATGTGGCTACTCACGTTTACCATGGTTCTCTTGCTCTCTTGAAGGAAAAACAGCTCTCAAAATGCTATCTAAGACAGTTATTTGACTGATTTGTTTCTAGTGGACCATCTACAATTTTGAGGATTGTTATAAAAGGTGACATCTATAGTGGGTCACTATAGTTGTCACTAGGCCTCACACTGTAGTTGGGACATTTTTCACAGTCCACATCTTGGAAGAGGCCATGTTGGGAGTGAGGAGTCACTTCAAAGCAAGGCTAGATTAAGTGCAAGGTTTCACTCTGGGGAATCCTAATACATAATTGGTCTGAAACTGAGCAGATTCTGCTGAGTCTCTTCTACCTAAGAGGGCTCTGGCACCATCCTTTAGTACAAGATCTTCACTGGTGGGGAAGTTGAAAAACTCAACTCCGGAGATTCTCAATAGAACAACTACATCATGTACTTTAGAATGCAATGGGGATGGAGATTGAGGAAAAACTCTAACTTTACAAGGGAAGAAACTGGCCTTAGCCTTGATCCTAAGGATAAGTCAAGAGACTGATGAATAATCCCTGGGGTGGCCTAAATGATCAGGTCACACTCAGAATTTTATATTTTCAAAGGAGAAAAAAAATTTTTAATTTCAGTTCCCTTTAGTGAAGATTTAATGAAAATCTAGAATGTACATCTTTATCCCAAAGAGCTCAAGTTTTAATTGGAAATACAAGTTTTAAACAGTCACCAGCTCCTTTATTAAAAGGCATAAAGGGAAGAAGGAGAGGGGAAAAAACTTGAATATATATTATATGCATAGGACCTACTATGTTCCCTACAGATAAGCAAATTAGACAAGCACATGGGTGAAGTGATATGAGGCAAAACAGAAAAAAAATGTCCAAATTTTTCTTAAAGTACAACCTTCTCTCAAATCAGGGTGTAGGGAATTTCTACTAGCAACATATGTATGCGCACACATGTATACACATGTGTATATATATGTAAACACATACACTGACTTCAGTTTTGTGTGAATTTAACAGTGCTGAAAAATTATAAAAGTTTGTCTCAGTATTCTAGATGTTTATTTTAAAAATATTTTTATGACAGTGCTATATGTACCCTTTAATATCTCAATGTACAAAATATACATAGGTTGAGGTCCATCATTATTGATGGTAGTTAAAAATCCATATTTCAAAATGTCTTCAAAATTCCAATTTTTTAGACAAGTTCTTGTCAGATTGGTTAATTTGTCAGGAGTGTCTGGTAGAGATCTCACAACAGCTGATGGAGAGGTTTGGTTTTGCTAATTCATTTTTGTTCCCTTGCCCCGCAACATATGCTTTTTATATGGAACTAGTTTCAGACAGTTGCTATTTTATGAGGATTAGTTAACTATTATTGAAGTAATAGATAACAAAGGCCACAGATGTGCTTAACTGGAGGTATATACACTAAAACACACACAAACTGCCTGATTGACATTTTGCCTGTCCCCTAAAACTGCTGCAGACCCCAATATCTTATTACATACCTGAACACATAATAGCATGTGTTTATTTGTATAATTGCCCCAGTAGAGTATGAGCTTTTTGAAGACTGTACTTTTGACGTACCCATTTTTAAAAATTTCCTGTCTACTATGGCACCTGGCATATAAAGAAATCGCTTTTTTGCTGTTGAACTGAATATCCTGATTAAAACATCCATTAACCAAGAGTGATAGTGCCTGCAGTCCTGGGTCTATTACCAAAGAGACCTACTGGCCCATGGGAAACGGGATATTCACTGGTAAACCCTGACTGAAAAGAAAAGAGACAAGTTCCCATTAAGCACTTCGTAAACATCTGAGGACTAATGTTGGTCTGTCATTCAACACAGGATATCACTGGCCTTAATAAGAACAAGGAGGAAGTTTTTCATTAAGCTAAATTGATTAAATTTGAAGGACTATTATTTATCCAAGATGATGTATTTGGTTGATTTTTTAAATGTGTCTTTAGTTAGCAAAACTAAAAAATGTGACCTTATGGGAATTCCCAAGGTAGTTCTGACATAGTCCTGATTCATTAAATTTAGTAACCACGGGCTTAGTATAAAAACACAGCCCAGGGAAAAAAGTGTGTATATTGGGGAGCCAAAGTCTGTGGGTATTTGAGAGTGGGGAGTGCTGCAAGGAAAGTAGAGGGAGAGTAAGATGAAGAACACTGCTGTGTGAGCCAGGAGGCACCAGATGCGACCACAGACATGTTCTGATAGGGGTGGCCTCGGTCATAGACTCTTCCTTGTGGTGCTGCAGCTTGCTCCCCTGTAATTAAAGAAAATGCTCAGATGACTTCCATGGTGTCTTCTTGCTATAGTGGTCTTAAGTCATGATATTTTGATGGTCCCCCGAAGTAGGCAGCTATACTAGAGTTGCCCTTTCATATTCAACATTTCATCTTTCTCCAGACACTGCCCTACAACAAATACAACCTCAGACCTGAAACAATTGAGAACGAGGTTAAAGAGATCCTGCTTCGTCGCCAGAACACCTTCCAGGAGAGCATGAGGAAAGGCCACAGCCTGCCATGGGGAAAGCCGGTGAGGTGGGGACTGTGGACACACCTGAGAGCTGGGCCAGTCTCTGTACAGGGCCGACTCAGGTGACTAGCACTGGTATTTAAACCAGTAAAACAGTAAAAAATAACTGTTTTATTGACAGAGAAATACAAAAGGAATAGGGTGCAGGACTCCATATTTGGGTATCTCTCTTGGTGTCCAGGGCCTTAGGAACCCATGGGATCTGTCTTCCGGGATGGGTCAGTGACTGTACTGAACTCACTGGACTGAGTCTAGACCAGACAGCAAGGTGGCTAGATACTGAACATGCAAGGAGACCTTCTTGGACCAGGGCCCCTGGCTCTAGAAAGCTTACATCTCTCCCAGAGAAGAGGTTGTTTTTGCCAAGATGCTTGGGCCTAATTTCCATAACACCTGCTGTACATATGAGCTATTCTATCTGAGGCCAGAGCAAACCAATCTTACTAGGACTACTGGATGGAGGTTGGTTCTGGAGTAGTTCCTCCTCTCTACCCTAATCTCAGTGAGGCAGTGGGAGTAACTTTGAGAGGTTTATAATGGTCTATTTTACATAAGAAGGAAAGAAAATATGTATTAAAAGCTGAAGCATTTTTTTTTTTAATCAAAGTAACCAAAAGCCAGTCATCCAAATAAGATGACACAGTATAGGTCTGAGTCTTCACTTTGGTTGCCACATGAAACTCCAAATTGCAGTAGATAACTCTGCTTTTATTTCTACTTGTTTCTTACAGGCTGGTGCCAAAAACATCCGCTATCTGTCTTTTCCATATAGCAATCCTCAGCCTGCAAGAAGAGGCAGGAGGGCCGCTGATTTCAGAGGTAACTGGCTTATCTGGTTGCTCTTTTTCTTATCTATAAAGTGCCACATGATATATATTCTGGGGCTTGGGGACCAAAATGTAAAAACAAGAATATTATATATATACTTCTGTGACTAAAAAAAAGAAAAAGAAAAAACAACTTTTTATTAATCTAATTCAGAAATTTATTGATGGACACTGAAATTTAAATTTCATATCATCTTATGAAATATTCTTCTTTCAATTTTTTTAGCCATTCAAATATGTAACAACAATTCTAAGTTTATAGGCCATACAAAAAGAAGCAGCAGACCAAATATAGCCCAAGGGTCACAATTTGTTGAGCCCTGTCTTAGGGAAACAAAAAAATGGGCACATTTGTCAAGAATTCACCCATGGTTTAAAAATTACCAGACTTATTCCAAGTTGGTTAAATTTTACTAAAATAATTTCATCATGTTTACTGATGAAATGTTCTCCTTTTATTATCTGTGTGTTATACACACACACATATATAAACACACACACATGCATTTATATATGTGTGTGTTTTATTATATACACACATATATAAATGCATATATATGTTGTCAACTTTAATTTTCCTAAAATTTCAAGACTTTGAATTGGAAATTCAAAACAACATGTAGGGATTTTAGAATTTAATCTTTGAAAAGTGAATATAATTATTTCTTTAAATTATCTTCTGATTTAAAAACATGCTTGATATAAAAACAAAATCAACCAGTATAGAAAAGCATAAATAGAAAATTAGAAGTATTTGAAAACCTAAAACCCATATATAATCACTATAGAATATTTTGGTAGGAATTCTTCTATAATTTTCTCTATAGCATCCTAACCACTACTGGGTATACTACCCTACCCATACTGGAGACACACAAAAAAACTTAAACACACCAGCATCATATTATACATAAAATAATAGTATAATCTTTGTTTTATAACTTTTAAAAATTGTCTACTTCACTCAATCATATGTTGTAGACATATTTCCATGTCAATAGATATGAACCTTTTGGTCATTTTAATGACTTAATAAGAATCAATTTTATAAATGCCCTATTGCTTATTTAGCTAAATCCTTATTGACAAATATTTAAGGTATTTCCAGTTTTCAATGATATATAATAAGTGACTTGGATGATTTGTGACTGATTGTTGCACAAATCCTAAGCAATTATTTCCTTAATGCATTTTCTTGGAAATAAGACTTTGAGGTCAAAAATTATATATATTTAAATTTACTCTTATACCACCATCTGTGATAAAGGTCATTTCTGAACACTTATAGTATCTCTGGGCTATTTCCAAACTTTTGAGTAATCTATGATATGATAAGAAAAAATTTAACTTTCATATGTCTTTATTTCTGGTGTGGTTGAACATCTTTTCATAATTTTAAAGCTAATTATATTTCTTTTGGGGAAGTTTCTGTTTTTACTGTGGTCATTTTTTTTTCTATTTGGTTGGTTGTTTTCTTATATTGAATTTGAAGAATATTATATAACAAGGACATCATCTACTATCGTATGTTTGTTGCTAGTGATTTTTCCTCAAGTTTTGCATTTCTCTTTTAGGGTTTAGACATACTTGCCATTCAGGCTCTGATTAATGAAATCTGCTTGATCTTCTACAGAAAAATGAGAAAATAATTTACCCAATATTTTTCATTTAAAACTATAGTGGTTTGATTTTCTCACATAAATTTCAAATCATCTGATATTTATTTTTGTGTAGATTAAGATAGAGATTGTTTTTAAATGGTATTGTTCCTATCTCAACATTATTTTTCCCTTTAAGATGACATGCCATCTTTGTTGTACTAAAGTCATTTATTCTGAGAGAGTTTTGGAGTCAATTCTGTCTCACTGGTCTAGTCATCTATTCTCAGATCACAGTCTTTTGACTAGTATTATTTTATGTTTTTAAAGAGTTAAACAAAACAAAACAACAAACAAAAGAGCACCAGTTACAGAGTGGACAGCAGATTAATTTTTAAAAATCTTCCTGGTATGAATCATCTGGAACTATGTATTGTTGGAGTGAATAGAAAATACAATAGAAAGTCTCACAATAATTTCTTATAAGATGAACATCAGTATCACATTCTATGGTAACAGAAAATGCTCTCCTGAGCATTAATGTATAAATCTTAAAATAAAGCATTACAAACAAAATACAGCAGAACATTAGAGTAATACTACGCCTTACAAAGTGGAACTTATTCCACAGGTGGGATTGTTTAACATTTGGAAATACGTTTACATTATTCATCAGATTATCAGCTCAAAAGATCCTATCCTTTCAACAGATTCCCTAAAAGACTTCTCACTCATACTTTCAGTAAAAATCATAAAATCCCAGGAAAATATGTCTAAAACGTACATGAAGAAAACATAAAATTCTACTTCTCTATGTTGTCATTTCCTCTCTGCAAAGGGGAGAATACTGATATGTTTCACACACAAACTATTGCACAAAAAGCTCTTAGAACAGTGCCTGGAACCAAGTAAATGTGCAATAAATATTAGCCATTATTATGACTATTGAGGGATATCAGAAAAGGGTTGACATAGGGAGATAGAGATGTTTCTAGAAAAGAAGACAATACATCAAAAATGTCAGTTCTACATGCATTGATCTAGAAATGAAATTAAATCTTCATCCCAATTATTATGTTTTCTTCCAAGTGTATTCAACTGGTTTTAAACTGCATTATGTGAGTGAAAGTAGTGGTAAACCTAGAAATCTGAAAGGAAAAGTAATGAAGTATTGTTTTAAAGAATTATCATAATAATCATGGGGAGAATCAGATAGTCCTCATTGTATATCTGGGCACAATTACTTAATCCCTTGAAGCCAGTTCCATACCAGAACAAGTTCAGGGGATGGTCAGAGGGGCTCTAGGGAGAACAAAGAGGGAGATGTCCAACCAATAGGCAATCCCTGGCAAACCACCTTACAACTTGGAAAGCACTTTCTTTCCTCTCTCCCTTTGCCCTCCAGTGGGCAGGACATCCCTTACTCTGGATGCCAGGGAGCAGCTCCCTGCTGGTTTGAGGGGTCTCCATGCGCTCTTCCAATTCCACTTTGCCCTTGGGGTTTACTTGATGTTATAAGTATAGAGGTCTTGCCTGGATATCCCTTGTCTGCCCTGAAACTGCTTAAAACACATATGGGTTGGGGGAGATGAAAAGTTCTGTAGCTGGAGAGTGGTGATGATTACACAACAGTGTGAATGCACTTAGTGCTACAGAACTGTACACTTAAGTATGGTTAAAATAAAAAACATGGTTAAGATGCTAAATTTTATGTTATGTGTGCTTTACCACAACTGAAACAAAATGAAACCATGAGGAGGGTGTGGGGGGAGGGGTAGCATCAGAGGTCTGGGTCTGTATTAGATAGTGCACTTTCATCCTGTGTATTAGGCTCTGCCTTGCCCTGAGCAGGTGCATTTTCCCTGTTTCTCCTTCACTCTGCCCCAGGATGCATGTCCAGAAGTTAAGGCTCTTAGTCAGATCACAGGTATAAGAATGGATCTCTCCCTGGAAATGTGCTGCCTGGGTGCTGACCTGGATTGTGCCAGTGGGACAAAGAACAGTCCCCATTCTTCCTCCTTCCTCTTTCTGCTTTCCAGTGAGCCACTATCTCCTATTGTGGAAAGATCTAGAGATTTAAGTTGCAAGTATTGGCCTGCCTCTTTCTAGTGCATGGAGTCCACATTCAATAACCAGGAAGTGGTCAGGAAATGGTGATTAGACTCTGTCTACTGATGGAAGCATATGTTCAGAAGGAGAGGTTGGAAATGAGGAGGAGGAAAAGGGGAGTGGGAAGAAGGATCAGCTCCTGGGTGAAGACACATCAAGGCTATTATTTTCTCAAAGAGTTCTTAGGTAGTGTTCCAAACACCAAAAGATCAAAAGGAACTCGGGCCCCAGGCCAGACTGTAGAGCACAAATTAAAATGGAGTCATGAAGAAAGAGACAAATAATATACTAACATTTTCTTTATTCAAAGCATTGATTGCAGCTTTCTGCCCTCCTTAACTTACAGGCTACCTTCTCAGGATAATTTGGTCACATTTTGTAAAAAATATATTGAACAGGGTATTTTAAGATTTTCTGATGTCCCACATCCTAAACACATTTTGTCAAGTATAAACCTGTGTGCATATTAGTTCTAGCTCTGGGGATTTTGTTTTGTGTTTTTTGTTTTGCTTTTTTTAGGAAGGAGGAGAAAGTGGGAGAAAGAACCCTGCTTTCAGATTTAAATGAACGGTCTTAACATACCTAAATTCTCAGGAGAATATTTAAAGGGAAAATAAATTTGTAAGGATAAAACTTTGAGAATTAAAGAGATTGTGGAAAATATTCCTTTGAGGATGCGTGCACAGTGAAGGAAAAGACAATGTCTGGAGTATGGCTTAGGTATTTGGAAGGTCACCCAAGAGAAGACAGTACATAGATTCACAATGGGTTTTCTGCTCTCATGATGCAGCTCTCCTGACCTGCACATGACATATGTAAAGGAGACAGGAACAGCCTGGTCAATGGTGGATAAGCAGCTGGCCATACCCTGCTCAAACTTCAGTCTTGTCTTCATTGAAGATATTGTATGATACTGAAAGTCACTTACCTCTTGAAACCTTCATCTATGGAATGAGCACCATAATTTTTCTCATCACTAAGGATTATAATGAGGACTAAATAGCATAATAAATGTGAAATGATTAGCACAGTGACAGACACATACTAAGTTCCCAATAAATGGACTTTTATCCCTATCATTATCTCCACTGTGTGCCAGCCACACTCTGTTCATCTCCTTACCTCTTTTGAAATGAGAACATCTAGTCATAGTTATTGTGCCACACAAAGCTCTCTACTGCAGGGGTCCCCAACCCCCTGGGTCAAGAACCGGTACCAGTCTGTGGACTGTTAAGAACCAGGCCACGCAACAGGAAGTGAGCAGCGGGCTAGTCACCAAATTCATCAGCGCTCCACCTCCTGTTCCCCCAAAGAAAAATTGTCTTCCACAGAATCGGTCCCTGGAGCAAAAAATGTTGGAGACCACTGCTCTACTGTGCCTACACCCTATCCCTGTTACTCCAAAATTGACTAAAAAGGTTAAAAGGGAAGAAATTCAGATTTAATGCTTTCTTATAACCATTGATTAAAAATCAAACCTAGATAAAAATAGCCACTTTCATATAGAGTACGATGTATACTTCAGTTTAGCATTGGTCTTTGACAACACAAAGCATCTTTGTGCCTTCATGCCAATTGTTCTGACTTTGGAAAAAGCACTCTGTACTTACCTGGAGGAGACAAGCTTGGTACACACATTTTCATACATTTCTATTTATTCAGAACACTGAGCATATAACTTCTACAGTTGATCCTTGAATGATACAGGTTTGAACTGCGTGGGTCCAATTATATGTGGATTTTTAAAATAAAAACTAGTACAGTGCTGTAAATGTATTTTCTCTTCTTTATGATGTTATTAATGACATTTTATTTTCTCTAATTTAATTTATTATAAAACTACAGTTCTAGAAACACATCTAACATACAAGTATGTGTTAATCAACTGTTATCTGTAAAGCTTCCAGTCACCAAAGTTATACATGGACCTTCGAATGTACAGGGAGTAGGTACCCCCAACCTCATGTTGTTCAAGGGTCAACTGTATTTCATTCCCTTGCTGGGATAGCAAACTTGAAAAGAGACAATAATGCTAATAAGAAAATTGAGTGAGCTGGACCTTCAGAAAGGATTCTGTTTTGTTCTGAGCTCTGACCATCTGGATGTTGTTTTCTCTCATATCTTAGGTCTTGTTCTCATGTCTTCTTGTCATTATTTCCTAGATAAGGGCAGCAATAATTCAGAATTCTCCTTTGATGTGTTCACTGCATACTTTCAAGCAAGTTTTCTTCAAGAAAAACAACTGACAAAAGAAATAATCCCAGTGAAAAGTTCAAACAAAGGAGGGAAGCCATCCAACTTTGTTTATCAAAGAAGTACAAGCCAAGAAGAGCATGTTGGTGGAGGCAGAAGGGCAGCCTTAAGACCCAAACCATTGTTTCATGCAGAAGATGACTACTATGAATCTGGAGAGGAGAGTGGGGAAGAAGTCACAGCAATTGGGTCCAGATGGTCAGCGGAGCACAGACGCAGAAGGGAACACCATAGGTCCCGCAGTCCTTTGCTCCAAAGAAAATAGTTGTATTGTGCACAAGATTGTTTCTGTGCTACTCAAGAGTCCATCTTCCTATTTCTGTTAAAGAAGGATTTTTAGAATTTTGAAGAAAGCTATAGAGTTTATTTTTCTTTTTTTGAAGCTATTAGATATGCATCTATATGAAGCAAGGGGATTTTTCAGAACATTAAGAGCACTAACTTGTAGGTTGTGTCATATTCTTAGCTAGTGCACTTTGTAGATAATTATCTGTGAGTGACAGATATTCATCACCCCAGAAATTATTCACTGATAATTTCTAAGTGTGTGTGATTCATTTACTTTATTGAGATACAGTGTAATTGGTAATTTACCTTGACAATATGCATGTGCAACTTATAATCAAAGTAGACCTAAGAGGAGCTCTAGAAATATCCTGATCCAAACCCATGAGGTTAGAGATGAGGACATCTTGCCCAAGGTCACGTGGTGAGTTACTGGCCTCACAAGCTAATTCACCTTCCTCCCAAGAGAATGCATTTGATTTTGATTTTGATATGCACTGTTTAATAATTATATGTATGGGAAGAGTTAAAATTTGTCACAGCATCGCTCTATTTAATCAGCATCAACAATGGACAGATGTGATACAGACTAAAGAATCTGCAAACAACAGACTTGTCTATTTTATAATTGGAATATTTATTTTAAAAACAAATACTAGAAACAAAATAGCCATAAGCAGGCTTTAAATAGTGTTGACACAAATAACAGGTATTTATGAGCATTTATAGGGTGTAATATTTTTTCCTAATGATTGAAATTATTTTCCAATTTTATTTTCCATTTTCATTGTCTGCAAACTTGACCTTGAACCTCACACTCCCGCTCATCAACTTTGCTAGATAGCTATATCTTTCCTCTCTCTTCCTCTTCTCTTTCTTCTGACCACCTATAGACTTTAATATTTATTAAGTACTATTTATTGTGCCACATGGCTAATCTATAATAATCAATTAACCATAATGTCCTTTATAGTTGCTATTATTGATATCTCTAATTATCCCCAACTGATTTAATTGACTACATCTTTAAGAGTCATGATGCAATATACCCATCTCCCTAGACCTGCCTTGATCCCATTAACTGGAAGTGATCAAGTGACCTTCTTCCTTCTTATGCCCCCACACAACTTTGGATGTGTTATGGGACTTATCTGAGGGTTACACTTACATGTGTGAAAGTGTGTCTCCACTTCTATGATCCAAGAATGGGGGAGATTGTTTATTCATTTTTTATTTTATCCATTTATCATTGTGGCTTTTATATCCCACATTTACTTTCTGTTTGCTTTAGCTTTTGTTGTTGTTATAGTGCTTTTTACCTGGTAGATTATCTATAAATGAAGAGATGATGACATTTTAGAGCTGAAAATACATTAGAGAAGATGCCAGGCATTCTTATTTTCTAGGTGATGAAAATGAAGTCTTGAGAAACTACCTGATGCCAGTTCAGGGTCTGCTTCCCCCTGAAGGATGTGGGCTTGTCCTCTAGTATAATCTATGGGTTGTAATGATTGATGAGTGGTATATGACTTTCCGCAGATTTATAATTGGTGAGTGGCATTCACTCAGGTTTCTGCTGCAGTGGTAGAAATGGCAATCAGAGGAGCCATTTGTCTTTCCTCTGAATCTGAAATATAAGAATGCTTTTAAGTCGTTTAAATATTTGAATTTCAATAAAATTGTACACTACAAAGTAATACCAACCAATGCAAAGGGATAGAAACACACATAAAACTCAGGGATCTCAGGGTTTTTTTTTTTTTTTTTTTCATTTAAACAAACCAGAAATCAAAGCCACAGAAAAAGCCTAAGTACTCTGAGAGAGCCAGTGAGTCATTATCCTTAAACAATGAATGGAGATACAGAGACGAGAGAGGCATCATGAGAAATAATTGTTCCATATCCATATGCAAAGCTGATTCTTGAGAGGTGTAGAGTTCCAATGTCCCTTACTGGACTTTCCACATAATACCAGAAACCTAGATTGTAAAGGCCCCTTCAAAAAGTAGCCATCAAAATCTAAGTATTAATGGGAATCATCTAACTCTACTGTCTTTCTTTGAAATGCTCATTCCATTTTGGAGATGGGTAGTAGGATTTAGTGAGTAGATTGGAACTTTCTCCTTTCACTGATAGAAACCATAATGAAGTTGTTCTACCTGAGGACTTTGCTTATCTAAACACTGTCTGGCCAAGATTGAGAAGAAGCCCTGGAGCTCTTGCCTAAAATGTAAGGTTGAGGGCACAAGTGGTCCCAATAGCTCTGGTAGACTTGGAGAGCTCATGGTGGAAATGGCATCTTTGTTTATCATCTAAGAATGTTTCAAAATGCAGTGTGATCTGATCTTCATTTCATTAATGACTCTGGGGATTGGTTGAAGGTGTAACAGATACCTGAGGAATGCTCTAGGGTATCAGTTTTGCATGATAATTTTTTTTTCCAGCAGACAACATACAGTTTAGCAGAGGAAGTTTCCTCTTGAGTGTTGAGGAAGATCTGGTTCTTCTTCCTAACTCATCTCAAAAAGGAGATGGAATCCCACAAAAGGTGTTCTCCTAGGCCTGTCTTCTGGTCCACTGAACAGTCCATCTTCTCTACCTTTTCTGCCAGTGGCAGAATTTGCCTCTTTATCTCAAACCTCAAAATATCAGACACACAACTCACAAAGGCTTAATTTTCTTTGTAAAGTTTTTTGTTTGTTTGTTTTACTTTTTTTCTTTCTCAAACTTATTTATATTGCTAAGTTGAATGATTTTGGGTTTCTGTGAATTCTCAAGTTGGGTAAAGTAGCATTTCTTTGTATTTATCCTATACAGAGACTTTCCAACTTAAGGTTTTCCACATGTTTTCTGATGCTTGGGATGTGGTAAATGTTCTTATTCATCTTCCCTGGCCTTAATATGATGCCATGGGCACCTCCTTGTCTTTAATCAATCTGCTTAAAGAGAAACCTTGGCCATTGGTTGTGGAAGGGGATCTGGTGTGACAAAGTGGAGAAGAGGTTCTGTACACTTTATTATGCTTCCTCCATGCTTTTCCCTTGCTTGTGGAGGCCATATACTTCAGCGTTTCTCTTGGGAAAGTTAAAGGGTCATGAAAAATAGGGCTTGAATTACCATCTGAATTCAATGATAGAGTTACCATTGCTATATTACAGATGACTACTATGGCAGGGGTGTGGCAGAACTCAGGTCTTAAGCTTAAAGTGTTGGTTTTAGCCTGCAGGGAAGACTGCACAAGACTTCCTTTCTTGTTCAGATGGCTGCTACTCAGGTCATTTAGATTTTAAAATCAATGTAACTCAGAGCTCAGTCTCTGGAGTCAGACCACTTGCAGCTATAAGAACTTGGGCAACTTAATTATCATCCCTAGGCTGAAACTTACTGATTAACATTTTAAGGTATTAATTTTATCTACATCATAAAATGATAATAAAGATTAAATAAGATAATATATGTAAAATTCTTACATATAGCTTAGTGTTTATCTGATGGTTAGAGAGGGATCATTAACAGCTGTAATTATTTAGATATAATAGCTATAACAGCTATAATTATAAAAGTATGTATACATGAGAAAAGATATACATTGATTGGATAACATGAAGAGGCATAAATAATAGAAATCTGAGACTTTTTTGAGGGGCCATTTGATTGTTATAAGAGAGGATATTGGGGCACTGGTGAGAAATAGAAAGCATGGAAAAACATGATCACAACTCTACCTGGCCATGTCTCTATTCAGTATCCGTCAGTCACAAGCAAAACAAGAGATAAAGTCTGAATATGCATTCATGTTTTTCAATCACTACTTGTTTATTTTTGTGACATTCCCTTAAAATCGTTATATTTTCCTACTTTGGGGACAATTACTCTGATGTCGAATTCTAATCATAGTATATTTTCAAAGAGACAATGAATCTAGAAACCCTACCTCTGGCTATCGTGATAGGTGCTTACTGAAGAATGAAGACACTTTTTGTTGAGGAAACTCAGCGGAGTTTAATTTCTCAGCTTCAAATCTTTTCTATAGGATACCTTCCCTCCAAAGCAGTGATTCTTTTAATTTATGAATGTTAACTAGAGAGACAAGTATTCAAGAATTTCCAGCATGGAAGGAATAGTTTCTAGTTATGTTTAATAACTTTCTAACCTGAGGAAAAGAAATTTTTTATAAAGTCGATAAATATGCATCAGTGTTATCTAAGGTTTCTGCATGTATATTTCATCCACAAATAAAATGGGTGGTTTATTGTAATTTAATTTTTTCCCGACTAAACTGTCAAGTATCTTCTTTCTAACTCCTCCTGAGAAAACCCAGAAGGGAAGACAGAAAGCTTCTTTTTAGGACATCAATCATTGTTAATTGTAAATGGAGCCATAAACCAAGGGGAATAAAAGAGTTACCTGCATCGGTGCTATTCTCTCCTTTAATTAGCAAGTGATATGTTGTTTCATCTGTGCACATTTGATTAATAAATTATTTTTCTTTCTGAGACGCTAATGAGCTTTTAAGCCAGGGGTGCTCAAGTAAGTATGACAAATTAGAAATAAAAATTTCCATTGCCAGGCCTTCTTCAAGTTAGGTAGGGTTTGTTCAACAAATGAACTGGAACCATGTTGTACACTGAACCAAGGTGATCATTATTCTGTTTCCAGACATAGTAATGCAGATCTCAAATTGAATGTGGTGGTCCTAAAATCAAGGTATATACTCTGTGTTCTAGGGAATCAGTCTTGAATAGAACAGTAATAATAGGCAACATTTATAGAATGCTTACTATATGCCAGGCATTATTCAAAATTCTTTATATACATAATGCAGTTTCATCCTATCTTAAATGAAAAGAGGTAGGTTTAGAGAGATTAAGTAACAGGTACGAGGTTACCCTGCTTCCAAGAAGACCTTGGAAATCAGGTTAGCCTGATTTATAACCACGGTCCTCACCTCAACTTTCTTCCCAGGAAGACCTGGGATTT